TATGGCAACTCAAAGATTTCTTTCACGTAGGCTTTCACAATTTCACTCTGCTTTCTAAATAGGTCTTTAAGGATCGATACAGCTCTGTTGTATCCTTCAGCTGAATGGGGCAAGGCCTCGACTGTTTTCCTGACTTTTGCATCCAGCAATTCTCTTAGGTACGTGAACTTGGTCACAGGCGGCACATAAGTTTTGTCAATAGTTTCGGAATATTGACCCCAGAATCTCGGCCAGTCGGCGTAAGTCCCATTAAACTTGGTAATGACGAGCTTGGGTAGTTTCGCTTCACCAACAGAGGTTTCCACGGACGACTTTAGGTTTCCAGCCTTGATTTGAAGGTCTTCCTGAAATTTTAGCTTCGTCTCGTGAAGTTTGATTTCGACCTGCATTTTCTCTTCTCTTTCTTGCTTTTCTGCTTCCATTTTTCCATTTGCCAACCATTCTTCAAGGTTTTCGATATGACCTTCCGCTTCTTCTATTTTTTCGGTAATCGCATCATTCCAATCGCTAATATCTCCATCGTTGACTTTTGCCTCTATCTTCAGTGCTTCAACCGTTCTTCTAGCACTGTCAACTTCACTGACAAGTTCCTTTAGATTCGTCAATTGTCTCTGTATTGCAGACTGTTTCTCGCCCTTGAGGGCTTGATCGGCCTTTTCTTCAGCTCTTTCAAGTTGTTTTAGTTTGGTTTTGAGTGTAGATTCGGCGTTATACATGGTTTGAGGTTTAGGCGTTGATGCGTCAGCTTCGCTATTTGTTCGATTCGTCAAGGCATAAGGTAAATTGAGGACGTTTAAATTTTACACACAAGGTCCCATCGTGGTCGCCACGCCTGGAATTCTCTTGCGGCCAGAGAATTCCAGGAAACCACTTCATCCCAAACAAGCCCTACAGGTAAAAAATTTCCTTTTTTTTATTCAATTTTTAAAACTATTTTATCAAAAATAGTTTTAACTGTTCTCTGATGGGTTGCAAAGCGCACAGGAGGCAGCTAGAGCACGAAAGAAATGTAGAGGGAAACACGAGACGCATCCGATTGTTTCTCCTTACCTTTTGAATTTTAACAGTCATGCTAGTTCGGTTTTATTATTGTTACGGGAAAATTTACTGATTTGTCCGTGTGGTTGTTATACGGAATGTACTTATTCGTAAACTTTCACATTTAACCATTTCCAGTCCTTTCATTTTAGTAAATCAAAAAATGTATAAAAACTACAGTAGCTTTTGGAATAGATTTCGTTTGTTTCTCGCTTTCATATATGCAACTGCATGTCGGCACTTTTGTTATTTATTACCGGTTTTTTTTTTAGGTAAATATAAGGGTTAATGGTCTTTCTGGAAAAATTGGTTTTCATGGTAGTTAGCAGCTGAGTTTATACTCGTAACTTTAATTTCTTTTCATACAATAGTTTCCACACCAACCTTGCATAGATAAGCAGAAACTTTTAATTGCTTTTTCGTTTTTATTTCCTTAATAATAATAATAATAACTTTATTTGTATAGCGGTATATACAAAAGCTCTATATCGCTTTACAATCAAAAAAGAAAATAACTAACTAACAATAACACTAAAACAAAAAGTCAAATGAAAGCGAGTCTGAAAAGATAAGTTTTCAATCTAGATTTAAAAATATCTTAGCTGCTCTGCTGTAATTAAGATAGGTATTATTTTTTATATCAGAGCTGTGAATTCGCACCTAAGTTTCCTATTTTTAATGGCCTCGAGTTTATTGTATCCGTCTTTTACAGACGACCGCGTAATGATTACAGTTTTAGTTTTGACTCTAGCATGATGTCTGTAAGAGTGCGCTTCGAATAAAGCCTACTGTGGAACCAAAACGCTGTCTCCTCCTTGACGTCCGTACAAGCTCACTCGAAGTAGATCTCCGTGTACCAGGAAATCGTGACGAGTTTCCGTTCTCGTTAGCCGAGTGGTCTCTACCAAGTTAATTCCCCCCGTTTTGTAAGTCCCCGCGAAGTTCAGTTTAGAGTGCGCGAAAACCTATCGTCAAATTATTCATCATTCCTGTTTTTTTTCTGTTTTGTTTTTGGACACGAAATAATGCATACTTTACGGCTGTTGTGTTTGGTTCTTCTGTTGCTACTTGCCGGCTCTCTTGTTCCGAAATTTCTCTTTTGATTTTGAAAAAACAAACAAACAAAAAAAACTAGAGAGAAGTTCAGGCAATAGTCGGACAATGTACTAACTGGCAGATGGCGTGACAACTTTAGCTCAGTTCCGTGTTTTGCATTCTGATTAAACACACCATTTCAACCAGTGACAGCGCATGTTTTGTCCGAACTTTACTCTAAATCATGGGGATATGAAGCACTTGGGAAGTTTGGAAAGAACGAGAGAAGCGTAAGAGTAAGTGCAAAACCCTAGTTTCTCGAGTGCTCTCAAAACTTCCCAAATGCTTTATATCCTTATGGATGAATCGCTGTCGTATGAACCAGTTCTTTTATAACATTGCCAACGCAATATTGTGGGCGTTGTTTTCTCACAATCGGGAAATTTTTTGAGGGAGACAGCGCCCAGCAAATCTTAAGTAATTCTTTCTATAAACAATACAATTTTTGGTGAAATCAGTTCAAAATGAAATTGAATCAGTTCAAAAGATTATACCCAAACTAAAAAAAGGACAGGTGTTGTCATAATGTACTCAGAAATCATAATTTTAGATGAAATTGGCAGTGCTTGTTGTCGATGAGATATAAAAATCGTTTTGCACATTCGTCGGCTCTACCAAATAACCGCGTACCAAACGTTAAGACAAGAAAGGCATAGAAATATTTCGAGACAATAGCTTTATTCAAATTTATAACAAAGATGCTGTTTAGGACCGGTACGTATATGCGACCCGCGTTAAAGATCCACAATGCTTGAATTGTGATTTACTCGACTTCACGGCTAGAATATTTCGAAGCTTTGTGTTCAAAATTCTGAAAGCTGTCAGACTTAACGCAAAATCTTGTATTTCTCAATACTTCAAGGACATATCAACACTTTAAAACAATATTCACTGGCAAAAGAATGCTCGAAAATTTCGAAGTTCTATTTTTGTCAGCAAATACAGTTTCATTTCCCATCCTTAATTTGAATGACGTTTGGAAATTGTAGCATTGCTCACTCGAGAGCTCTTTCCATCGCTTTTAAGGCTCAAAAGACAATCACTTTTCAAATCGAGTATCCTTCCAGCATTGATTTACTTTTCATTAGAGCTCCTAAAGACCTGTCACAATCGGATGGAGCGGAAGAAAGATCTTGAAAAACTCAAAATTCGCGAATAATCTGGTCTTGAAATTCAATTGCGGAGTAAAGTTTTCAATCTCGAAGCATTTGTCTGCTGACGTGATTAGGGTGCACGCTATGAAGTACGCTTTCACTATTAAATTTGGGTAACTGGATCTGTTAGCTAATATAAGTTAAGTTTTCGCTCGAGCATAGCATAGCATATCCTGTTTAGGAGACTTTTGCTGGGATTTTTCGACAATGTTCAAGCTGAATTATTGTTAGATGGAACTACTTCTCAAAAGTTTTTCTGAATCAAGGCTCTTCGTGCTTCTAATATTATAAACGGAAACGGCTCTTCTTTAGCTTCAGAAGGCACAGAAGTTTACGTGACGGCGACAATAGACGAGAGCTGTAGCAGACGTTCAGAAATTGCTGCGAAATTCCCAGAGATGGTAAGATAATCATCCTTATCCATATACTGGAGTTTATGGAATACTGCCATAAGATTTCTAATGGAAATTGAATCTGAATCACTATGAATGAAATCATAATTTTTCTGCCACTTCAGTAATGCAACAGGCATTGAATAGAGATATTTTTCTTTACATGTCCTTTTAGGCTTGTCAAATTGCCTTTAGGTATGGGTGCTCATCTGCCAACACTGTGAACACAAGGTAAGGTAAGCTTCTTTCTTAAATTGAACCAACAAAAGCTATCGCAAATTTGTGTTCTGGGAGAAAACTGAGCAAAAATTGGAAAATTTCAGCATTTAAACTGGTTCTCCTTTTCTAAAAAGTCTCCTGTTCTAAAAAGTCTTAGTTACTGCAAAATAGTCGACATTTGACGAACATTTTTTATAATGTAGAGCAAATTAGTTTTATTTAGTTTTGTTTATTTCATAAAAAATTACTTCTTAGGTTAAATCTAAATGTATTTTAGAACCTAAAAGTCACCAAAGTACAAATATGTGAAATGTGTAATAACACCCTCTCCCCCACCCCCTTATCTAGGTGTGGCAGTGTTGTTCTTGACTTCATGATGAGGTTCAATCAAAGTGTAGTCGTCAGCAATGTTTTGACTCTTCTGTCGGATGCTGCGAGGCAAGAGCAATTTGGAGGTTTTAAAGTCAATCCAGACTCAATTGAAATAGTTTTAATACCTACAGACGGCTCAGAAAGCACAACAAAAGGTAAAAATTCCAAAGAAATTGTTTACACATATTCTTTCGAAAATGGGCTTTTTCTAATTGCACTCGGTATCTGTTTTATTAAACAACTCATTTCTGTAAGAGGTATACTTTTGGGTTGTTTGTTTTTGCTGTTACCTTTGTTCAATTCAAACAAAATCTTGTTTTTACATTTTTTTTATGGATATAGTAGCACCTTACTTTTCCCTGGTACCTAGCAAATCAGAGGTAACTTTTTTTTTCGGTCACAAGCCCAAGCCATGTATTGAGAGCAGTATATAGACCAGGTTCAGAGTAAATGTTGTGTGAATCTTGTTTTATTAAGCTTATATAACGAATCATTTTAGGTCCTGAAGAATGTAACTGCCTATCTAACAACGTCTTGTTAGCCATAATTGGGGTTCTTGCCTTCACAATCCTTCTTCTAATAATTTACATAATCTGGCTACACAGGAAAGGTAAGTAAAAAATTAATAATATATGTTAGAGGGTTTGGCTGCAAGATTCAGTATTAAGCAAAAGCAAATTTTGACTCATATCCACATCATTTGTCTTTTTTTCCTTTCCTTCTTTTTCAGGCACTGGAGGGAAACAGAGGTAAGAATTTGCTGCCACTTGGATTGTGTCGTTTTAATTTACCAGATATGGTATCGTCTTAACACAAAATTCCACTTAGAACTGATGAAATTCTCAGCTTTTTATAAGTATTCACATGCTTTTTTAATCGTAGGACTTGTGAAGATGAAAGAGGTGTTTACGATGTAAGTAACAGCTAAAACATTGCGGTCATGTTAATGGGGCCAGAAATTATGTCATCTCACTTTACCTCTACTTTCTATAAGAGAATAAATGCTTGCAGCAAATAAGAAGGGAAAAAGGTGTAGTCCTACAAAAAAAGCATATTGCATCAATGGCAGATACAATGAAATAGAGGAGGAAGTTTGACTCGATAAGGTCGTTTTCCTGGGATCATGTCCTTTACTAAGCTGCTCCATGGATTTTCCTCTGATTGTCCCTGGTTCAACTGCGTGGCTTCACTTCATAAATCGCTAACTGGTCTGCACCCGGTTGATATTTGCTTTCTAAATAATTGTTTTCACGCATTTTTGGCCGTCTTATTTTCTTGATGCCTTATTTTCTAAACGTTAGTCTAAGAGCTGAGTACAGCAAGAGTCTTTTTGTGCGCGTATTTGTCAAAAAATTGCACTTGCATTCGACAATCTTCCTGATGCAGTTTATAGCCTGGACGAATATGCAATGAACCTCAATCAGTCCATAGTTTCAAAAGCAGAGAACAAAATGTTAGTAAAAGTAAGGACAGTAGGGATTATAAACTATTTGTAATGAAGAATATAAACGTTTGGCTAATAAAAATGGGTGAACTGATTTTTTATAACCTTTTTGGACTTTTTACTGGGATAAATAACAGATTTGTATATGAATACCTTAACGGTATGTTGGTTTAATAGAATGAAGCAAGATTAGAGAGTGCTGCGGTTTGTAGCTTCGGCGAACATGCTATGAAACTCGATCGCTCCATTAGACATGAAAGTTTCAATAGAAGAGAACGCTTTGTTAGTTATTCTTAGTAATGATAAAGAAAAAAAGATTATTAACTGTTTTTAATCTCTTTTCAAGGCAGAAGATAGTCATCAGTCTGATGAAAATGGTTAAACTGATTTCATAGCTATGTGAATACTTTAACGGGTATATTTGTTTTATAGAATGAACTAGAATTGGAAGATATCGAACCAAGTCAGCCCGATTCAAAAAACCTCAGACAACCTTCTACGGAATACATGGATCTCATAGTCAGCAAAGATAATAGAAAAGCACAAACTGCTGGTTCAGGTGCTGATTACGCGCCTCTTCATCCATTGACACGCTCCTGGGAAGTTCCAAGACGTCACGTGAACATAGAAAAAATCATTGGTAAAGGTGCATTTGGTCAGGTTGCGAAGGGAACAGCAGTAGAACTTCGAGGGAGTCCTGAAACGACCACAGTAGCTATAAAGATGCTTAAAAGTGAGCTCTTGTACCATAAATTGAATGACAGTTTAAGCCTGCAGTTATTCAGGAAATGTTATCGGGTTACTGTAAATTTTTAGCTATTTGCCATTTCATTGCTTATGTTGTTATTTCGAAATTTAGCATATCATTCCCTTTAACCAAATTTTACTCCTTGTTTTTAACGCTCCAGCAAACGCTGCTGAATCGGACAAGAGAGATTTGATGAAAGAACTTGACACAATGAAGCAGCTGAAACCACATCCTTACGTCATTAAACTTCTGGGATGTGTTACAGAATCTGGTATGC